CATTGTGCATAAAAATCACATATTAGTGATTTATTTATTAGTGCATGTTCATAGTACATAATGTGTACATTCCTTTTGGGGACTTGGTATACGTACATAATTTATCTCCATTCCATTTTTTCATCCTCTCCCCCCCCCCTTCTTTACCAATTCTTGATCTTCTCTTGTTTGTATATGCTTGTAGTACATAATATTTATGCTCCTTGTGGGAACCTGGTACATGCACATAATACATCTTAGATCTTTTTTCCACTTGCTTTCCCTTCCCTCTCTACCTGTCCCCCCCCCATCTCTTGATTCCTTCCCTTCCAAGAACAATGTTTCCCTATTTACTATTATTTTTATTTTTTATTTATATTTTGCATTTCTCACATAAGAGAAGCCATGTGATGCTTAAGCTTGGGTTTCTGATCTATTTCACTCAGCACTATGGTCTCAAGCTGAATCCATTTTCATACACCTAACTCCAGTTCAACCTTCTTCATGGCAGCGAAGTGCTCCCTAGTGATTAAACACCATATTCTCTTTATCCTTTCATCTGTAGATAGACCAACAGGCTGCTTCCAATATTCAGCCATTATGAATGTGCTGCTATAAACATCGGCTTGCATGGGTCATTGTAATTTGCTCTCTAACTCTTGAGAAGGGGAAAAGCTGGGTCAAATGGAATGTCTACTTTTATTCTTTTGATGGAATCTGCATATCAGAGTCTCCATATCAGTGATTGGACTAGTTGACATTCTCACCAACAATATAGGAAGGTTTCTTTTTCCCTGCAGCCTTACCAGTATTTGCTCTTGTCCAATTTCTTGATGATGGCCATGGAATCTCCGTGTTGTTTTGATTTGCATTTCTCTAATGGCCAGAGATGGTGAACAATGTTTTCAAGAATTTTTTGACTGTTTTGACTTCTCTTCTGAGATGTGTCTGTTCCTATTAGTTGCCCATTAGTTTTTTGGTTGGGTCTTTTATTGAGGGAGGTCTCTCCAGCTTTCTTGTTACCTGTATCAGTCCATGAACATCCTTGCTCAGCCTCTTTGTGAACACGAGCAAGTATTTCTGAAGAACAGATACCTAGAAAAGGGGTTGTTGGTATGAAGACTGTGTTAGACATGAAAGTTTAGTTGCTCTGAGTAACGCTGTGCCAACACGCTCCAGGCAGCAGGAGCTCACAGTGCTCACTTTCTCACCCTTTGTCACTGCGGCATATTCTTTGTTTCTGAGGATGTTGATTCAGAAACACCTTTTCATCTTCCAGAAATCTCAGCCAAAATTACATCACTGAACTACATAAGAATTCATTTGAAGGCCTGTCGTCCCTCCGATATTTGTAAGTTAAACATATTTGGTTGTCTCTATATATTTTTTTTTATTTTAAAGAGGGTAAAAAAGAATAAAACCAGTCAAAATAAACCAGTGTAAAAGACACAGAACTTCAAAACATTACAAAATCAACAATAGTTACCATAATGCCTTTGTTGTTGTCACAACAGCTGTGGATAACTTCAGACATATAGTAAAAATTAAACAGGACAGAACAGAATAGAAACAATCAAAACAAAACCGTGAAGGCAAGAAAGGACTTCAAAACAAGCCTATAGTAAATCCACAATGGCTACCCTAATATGTCCTGCTGTCTTTGAAATAGCTGCCAGTTAGTCATATTATTTGAGTTTGAAGTTATCTATAAAATGAGGAGAGAGTTCAAAGCAGACATTGTTCAAAATCTCTTCCAGTGATAAAATTGTGCGATTATGTTAGTCTGTGTAGGTTTCAGTCTGTGTCTATCATCAATGAGAAAAATCCCACTTACAGAGGAAAAGTGGTAATAAGACTGTGCATTTACTCATGCTAACATGGGCCTTGTTTAATTAGTGTTTGGGTGCCATTGGCTTGTACTTATATTTACCCCCTGATCCATGGATCAAATTTATTCATACTCTGCATTTTATTCAGCTCATAAGGTAATAGTAGTTTTCATATTTTTAAGTGCTATAAAAGGAAAAGGAAAAAGAATCTATAGTTGTATATTTTATTTATGAAGATCATAAAGGTGATCCTCTTAGAGGAAAACAGGGCTGGGGTCCAGAATGTCAAACTTGAATATAATGATTTGGACAAAAATATGTTTTCAGTTTGATAAATTCTAAAGTCTAGCATTTATTCAGACTTATTAGATATCTAATAGCTACTCAAGGCAACATGTTCCTTTTACTTTTTCTAGAGATGTATCCTGCAATAAAATGCAATTTATTGAAAGACGCACATTTGAACCATTAATTTTTTTGAAGTTCATGTAAGTTACAAATACAACCTCATAATATATGCAATTTTATAAACCTTGTTGTTACTCAGTTTGAAATTGTTTTAATCTCTACCAAAGATTAGTATAAGGATTATCTCACAGGTCAGACAGTCATTACAGAGCAGTGACCTTCAACTGTTAATTTGCACCCAGGTGATATTTGGAAACTGTGGCTATTACTATTGATCTCTAATTCTGATAACCATTGTATAGTGTCCAGTAAGACACCACAAAAAAGAATTGTCCAGCTCAAAAGGTCACTAGTGCTGCAGCTGCGAAATTCTGTTCTAGAGTAATGGAGATCACTTAAGACAAGTACTTATTAAGCCTTCACTCTTTCATATTTAGTGCATTTCAAGTGTAAATATGAAAGTTTAAATTAGAAGCCAGCATCTTCCTGTGAGTTTTTTTAGTAGGTGGAAAAAATATTGATATTTTGTTTCACCATATACTGTATAAATTGAAATCATGGCCAAGTGATTAATCTCCAGAATAATCTTTCTTCTTTGGCTTATGCATTTTTATAGAAATCTTCGTTGCAATTTATTAAGAGAACTGGATTTTGGAACATTTCAAACATGGCATGGAATGCAGTTTTTACACTACGTGTAAGTAAAATGAATGGAAAACACATGTAAAAATAATCAAAACAAAACTGTAAAAACCAAATCGATGTGTTATTGGTTAGCTGGGTCTGAGTCCTGCACAAACCCTGAGAAGTATGTCTTAGGATTCACCGACTCCTGTCAGGTGAGATCGAGTGTGTTCAGGGAGCTAGGGCCAAAGAGACTGTTCCTTATTTTCAAATGAGGAAACTAGGGAACAAAGAGGCTAAGAGATAACTTTTCTTGGTGACAGGTTCTTGCTATGTAGTCCAGGCTGGCCATGTACTCACTGAGAGCCCATGCTGGCCTCAAACTCATTTGTCCTGCTTCAACCTCTTGAGCGCTGGGATTATAAGTATGTGCGACCATGTGCGGGTTGACTTGTGCAACTTCCAGGCAGCCTGCTCTGTATTTCCGGGTACTGATATTTGGCATGAGTAGTACGAGGTGTTGCAGGTACTGCCCAAGTAACACTCAAATTAGCACTGCAGAGAGCTCAGAGGTGTGGTTCTGACAAGTGAATGGTTCTTGAAATTCCACTTTTTTTTTTGTCTTTTTCCTTTTTATCGGTACCAGGGATCGAGCTCATGACTGCCTGCTTACTGTTGTACTCTTAAAAAATAGCTTTGTTATATGTGTATTATAGCAAACCTGCAAATGTGGCTTACTAAATGTGTTTTTTTATCCTTTTTCCCTAACTGATATGTTAAGTGACCTAATTGATATGTTGAGCAATACTCTCCTCTGTAAAGAATTGCAAGAATCTCACCTAATTGATATGTTAACCATTGTTGTCCTCTACAAACTACAGAAGTTGTGCTAAAACAAGCTAACAAGGGTTGTTAATCACTGTTAGGTGCCTCTATTCTCCGCTAAAGAGCTAAAGAAAACTAGGATGGCCCACTAATTTACACTTGTTTAAAGTAACCTGCTTGTGTGCAGAGAGATTTGCGTATGAGTTTAACCCTTTACCTGACCTTGACACATAACCGCCGTTTTCTGTTCTGTATGGCGCCTTATTGCCTCCCTCTCCCCTCACCTATCTATCTAGGCCATAAAGAATTTGGGTTTCTGGTGACCTCTTCCCAACCCGGTGATGATCTGTCATAAAATGAGCCTGCCCCAAATTTTAAGAACTGTTTAGCTTCAAAGAAATTACCGGGAAATACTATGGCCCAAACCCCAATTGGTGCTTTCCTTTTGTTCTGTATGCATCAAATGAGATTAGATATCAGATCTTTGTAAAACTTAAGTTTCAGCTTCTTGTAACTCTTGACCCCTTCGCACCTACTAGTGAAACGAGCTGTCCTGGGATAATTAACTGTCCACTTTCTTCCCCAAATATTGCTGCAGATGTGCCACTCCGAGATAATGTCAGTCTGTAGGATGGGAGTAATTTGAGAAACACCAGGAACTCCTGAGATTGTCAGAGCTAAGTGGACAGCAATACAGTTTCCAGACTCGGGTCAACAAGTTTGATGGCTCTGCAGGTTTCTTTGTTTCTCTCCCCCTTTTCTTCCAGCCTCTTTTTAAAGTCCTCCCTTCAGTCTCTGGGACACAGTCTCCAAATTGGCTCCCAGAGACTTGTCGCCAGGCCTGGAAATAAAGCCTTCGCTACCTAAATTTTCGGGCTCTTGCTTCCTTGGATTTTATACCGGGCCCAAGTTATAACACTTACAAGATAGGCGCTTATGCCACTGAGCTAAATCTCCAGCCCCTGAAATTCCACTTTTGAGTTTAACTTTGATTCCTTCTCACATGCAGAGTTCTAACTGTTACAATGTATGCAATACAGAGCTTCAAAGAACTATGTTTAATGCTCTGTTCTCCAAAGAACAAAAGGTACAGGTGCTGAGTCTCAGAACCTCCTCAGTGGAAAAGCAGAAAGAATTCCTCAGAACCTGCTGCCAATCAGCTCCCTCCCCAACCACCCAGTATGTTATGTATAAAGAAAACACGTGGTTCTAGGCCAGTGGCAGCAAACCTAAGCAGTGAGGGTTATATTCACTTTCAGCTGAAAACTTTTGTGATGTTTTCTGGCCTGAAGGGGATTTTAGACTCAAGTTGAAAATTCCCCTCTGCTGAGAAAGACCTGTCTTGTGGGTCAGAACTCCAGGTTCATACACTTTATTTTGAGTTCCCTGGAGAGAGGTTTAGGATGCACCTGGAGCTGGTTAACTCCACCTGAATTCTCAACTGTAGTGACCTCCCCTTGTCAATCTGCTGATTCTCAACTTGGGAGAACAAGGACGGTTTGCTTTTGAAGCAAAGTTGGGGTGGAGGGTGGGTTAGAGAAGACATAATGGAGAAGACAGCAACTTGTTCCATCTGCTTTGAAGGTTTTCTTAACAGAAAGGCAGTTGCTTTCTGGAGATGAGAAAGTGAGAGCCAGCTGGTATTGGACATTAACATTCTTATCATTTGATCTGGAGGGAGCTGCGCCTCTCAAGCTATTTTACAGTTACTTTGATAGATTTGCACAATTTGTACTTATAGCATGTACCTGTAGTTCCAGCTATTTAGAAGGCTGAGGCAGGAGCATCATTTGCTCTCAGGAGTTGGGAGCCAACCTGGGACATACTGAAGGGTTAGAAGTGCTGGGTCACATATAACTCGGTTTACCTTTTTGAGGCACCCATGAACTGCTTGCAAGTGACTGCGACATTTTACATTTTCACCTGCAATAATGTGGCTTCTAATTTCTCCACCTTGGCCAGCACTTGTTATTACCTGTCTTTTTATTATGGCCATCTTAGTGAGTGTAAGCACTCATTGTGGCTTTCACTTACATTGGAGACTGATGAGACATTACACATCTTTGCATGAGAATACTGGCCGTGTACTTTTTTTGAATAATACTTTCAAATCCTCTCCCCATTTTATCCTTATGTATCTTTTTACTGAGTTGTAAAGGTTCTTTATACATTCTGGATATTCTGTGTACTAGGCCTTTATCAGATGTATGATTTATAAACATTTTCTCCTGTTCTACTGGTAGCTGACTTTTTATCATTTTACTGGTGTCCTTTGACACACAAACATTTTATAGTTTGTCTTTGTTTTGTGTAAAACTGGGGGTGGATCCTTGGGCCTCTGCATTGAGCTACATCCCCAGCCCTTTCTCTATTAGGATCTCCTTAAGTTGCTAAGCTGCTCAGGCTGGGATCTAACGTTCAATCTTCCTATTTCCCAGAGTACTAAGGTTACAGCCAGGAACCACTACACCCAGCTATTTGTAAATTTTTTTGGAGATAGGCATGCATCACCGAGCCCAATTGAAGCACAAAATTTTAATTTTCATAAAATCTTGTTTATCTATTTTCCCTGTAGTTAAACTCTTTGTATCATACATAAGAAATTGTGGCCTAATACAGTTACCAACATTTGCTCTTATATGTTTTTCTAAGAGTTTTATAGTTTAAGCCCTTATATTAGGTTTTTGCTATATTTTGTATCAGTTTTTATATATGGTTTAGGGATTTGGTTACATTGTTTTTCTCTATTGTTTTGGATTTTTTATTTCACTTTTTTCTGTTTTACTCTTTATTATTTTCTTCTGTCTTGGGCTTAAGTTACTGTTCTTTCCCTACTTTATTCAGGAGAATTTTACATTATTGATGAGAATTTTTAATATTTGCATCTGGGTGTATATCTTTCCCTCTGCACAATGCTCTAACCAGGTCCTAAGTGTTGGTGGTATGACTTCATTTGCATTGATGTTGAAGTATTTGCTGATTTCTCTTGTGACTTCTTTTTGACTCCTTAGTTGCCTATACGTGTGTCATTTCTATATTTATGAATTTGCCAGACTTCTTCCTGTTGTAGCTATGATCTCAGCCTGTTTTTCTCTGGATCAGTTGATTGCTTACTGGGGTGGAGAGGGGCTCAGCTCTTTTTGTCTCCCAGCCCGCAGGGCTGCCTCTGGCTCGTAAGAAGGGGCTGACTTCTTTCTCCTCCCAGTGCCCCATATGGCTGCCACTGGCTCACAAGAAGGAGCTGGCAACTCAGGATAAATTAGATAACCTCTCTGTGCCTCAGTTTCCTCACTTGTAAAGTGGGGGTAATTTTAATATCTACCACTTAGGATTACTATTAGGCTTCAGTATAAAGTGTTGAGCATAACTACTGTTACTAATAGTTACTATTCTTAAAGTATTCTGTAGAAGTATAATAACTAATGTTTCCTGAGTAGATTTAACCTCAACATATTTTTCTTTCCTCATATTTCTTTTGTTGTTGTTGTTGTTTGCTTACTGTAAAGAATTGAAAACAAATTATATTCCAGCATTTTGAAGTAAAAATTTGCGTCATGATGAATATAGCCAGGCACAGTGGTAATTGCCTGTAACCTTAGCACCTGCCAGGTTAAGGCAGACGTATTATGTGTCTGAGCCTGGCCTGGGAAAATTATTAATTTAGAGAGAATTTTTCTGAAAATAAATGTAAGAATGGCTAGGGACACAGCTTAGTGCAAAGGCTCTGGGTTCAACACCTGTGTTTGCAGTCTCCCCCACACAGGAGCCTGAGGTTGCAAACAGTGCTTGATCCTAGGAGTCTGATGCTAGTCTAGGCAAGATTATATCTCTTAAAAGGGATGTGTGCATGCAAGCATGCATGTGTGAATGTATTCGTTTCATTGATATGAAAAGAGAATTTTATATATTCAATGAACATTTATTAAAAACCTAGTAAATTTTAGGCACTATACCAGGCATTAACATGATACAGGAAAACAGATGGGAGTAATAGAGCAAATATGGCTTTAATCACCTCCCCTTGTTACCGTTTTTATCCAAATGTCCCCCCAAAACCTCTCTCAGTCATAGGTGGAGCTTTGGGAGGTGATTGGATGATGGGACTGTTATAGCTGAGGTGGGGCTCAGAAGAAGTGGGTCGCAGGGGTGTGGTGTGGATGGGTTATCTTCCTCCTGCCTCTTCCCTTCACTCTGTGCTTCAGGATTGCTGGGCTGTGAGTGTCTCTCCTCCACTCAGGCCCTTCCACCAGGCTTTCCTGCCTTGGAGCTGGTGATGCCCTGGAACATGAGCCAAACTAAAGGCTTTTTAGGGGCTGGGGATTAAGCTCAGCGGCATAAGCGCCTGCCTTGCAAGCAGGCAGTCGTGAGTTTGGTTCCTGGTACCGATAAAAATGAAAAAGACAAAAAAAAAAAAAATGCTTTTTCCTTCCATGTGCGGCTGTCTGATATGGTCTCCTTCATGAAGAAAAGTTACTAAGACCCACCTCTTAGATGTTTAAAACTTTTTTCTTTGACTCTAAACCAAGGAATTGCACCCCTCCCCACATAACTGCCTTTTTTGTCATTGTTGAGACTATGTAGTTTCAGCTGATCTTGAATTCACTGTGTAGCCCAGGCTGGCCTCAATGTTCATGTCTCAGCCTCCTGGGTGCTGGGATTACAGGTGTGTACCACCGTGCCTAGCACATGTTTTTTCTCTTAGTGAATTAGACCATGATTTTATTTAAATTTCTAAAGATGAAAGGCAAGCCGCTTGAGTTATGAAGGATGCTAACTATAGAATTTCCTGTAGGGTGAAGGTTTCTTATCAGAGCAGTCAATTTTAGGGTTTTTGTTCTTTCACATATTTTTCCTTTTTTAGCCATGCTGTTCAACATTTTTGCCTCCTCTTTCTCATTTCTACCTTATCTTTTAGAGACCTATTTGACCCCCAAAGAAAGAACACTTTCTGAATTCTAAGGGTTATTCACATGTAGTCACAGAAAATGCTTTTTTAACATGTAAGTGCCATACAAAAAAAAAAAAAAAAAAACCTTTTCATGTAACCTCAGGCATAGTGAAATTTTAATTCCATTGTGCCTTTCAGAATTCTCAATCATAATCCTCTGTCAGCCATTGAGGATTCATCTCTTTTTCAATTACCAGCATTAAAATATTTGTAAGTATTCTAATCCAGTAATTGTGTAAATCTAATATAACTTCTATTCTTCTTGCTTCCTTTCATCAGTGGTTAAGTATTGTATCTTGATTCTGAAAGTCATAATTTTAAGTTTAACTTGAATTTTAATGCAGCTATTGAAAAAGTTATTGGAAAGAAAATAATTAAGAAATATAATGGGTAAGGGAGCTGGCAGGGGTGGAGCGCACTGTTGAAGAACACAGTAGAAATGGAACATAGCATAGTGGCATTGTTACTAAAAATAAAAAACACACATAGAGGTGACTACAATACAAAATTGAACAGTAAGATGATGATTTCAAAAAGGTATAGGCTCTACTATGGAATGTTAGTCATTAATTTGATGGTGCAAATATTAAAGTTGAACTTTTTCATGAAAAACTCTGGGATTATATTTTATGATAAAATCATGTGCTGGCTTGTTAATGGGGAAAATTGAATTAACCACACTTTCTTGAAATACCTGTGTAAGTACAGAGTATTTGTGTCGGGATTCCTCATGACTGACTGAGCTTTCTTTTTCAGAGACTTGGGACAAACACACGTCCCACTTACAGCACTTGAGAATATAATCACAATGGCTCTAGGACTGAAAACACTGTGAGTTAGTTTTGTTTTCCTTAAATTTATTTGACTAAGGTATTTTGGTTAGTTTTTTAAGGAAATTATTTTGGTTTATTAGGATAGCTGTGTATTCCATTAATGATTCCATTGCGTCCAGGAGGAGGGCAAGTGCACAATACATCTCAATTTCTTTCTCCACCTTTCTCTTCCCTCCTTGCTCCTTTCACCCTTTCATCTCTTGGTCCTCCTTATTTTTTTGTTATGCGTTTGTACATAATGCTTGCACTTTTGTACGGACTTGGTGCGTGCATGGGACACATCCCAATTTCTTTGCATCATCCCTTACCCCCCCATTTCTTGACCGCCTTCCCCTCTGAGAACAATCTGTCTCCCTACTTCCTATTATCTATCACTTATTTTGCTCTTTCTTTTAACTCAGTTTCACATTCGAGGAAAGCAATGTGATATTAACTGTGTGTGTGATTTTTTTAAAAAACTAAATTTTATAACAAAATAATAGAATATTAAAAGTTATTATATTGTATATTGTTTTCTTCAAAGTAGTTATTCAGAGTACTACATATAGGCATAACGAATTCTCCAAAATGATATTAGCATGGCAGTTTCTTTTCAGTGAACTACAAGAAACTAGTAGTATAACTATCTTATATTTTTTTTCTTTTCCCTCCCTTCCTTTCCCTCTGCCCCCATCGCGGCTCCTCTTTCCTTTCAAATCACTTCTTCTCATTTCACAACATGCATTGCACATTGTGGTCCTTATTTACTCTTTGTTTCTCACACCAGAAATACAATGTGATGTTTACACCAATGTGATGTTGATCTGATTTACTTCATTTACATGCAGGGTCTCAAGCTGCATACATTTACCAATAAAAGTCTCCAGTTTATCTTTCCTTATGACTGAATAGTGTTCAATTGTATAAAAACAGCACATCTTTTTAACTCATTTCTTGGCTGATAAGTATTTGCATTGTTTCCAAGATTTTGCTATTATAAGTGTGTTCTTGTATACATGGCTACACATATATCACTGTGGTATGATGTTTTCAGTTCTTCTGGGATGTTACCCAGAAGGGGATTTGTTGGGTTGAATGGGAGCTCCAATTCAAGAGGGGTTTCTTGTGGTTTTTTTTTTTTGTTTGTTTGTTTGTTTGTTTTTGAGGAACCTCCACACTGATTTCCACAGTGGTTGCACCAGTCTACACCAAAGTGGAGAAGGGTTCCTTTTCCTCTAGAGCCCCTCCAGCATTTGTTATTGCTTGACTTCTTGATACTAGCCATTCTTTCAGGGGTGAGGTGTAATCTCAGTGTTGTTTCAACTTGCACCTCTCAAATAACCAGTGATGCTGCTGAACATTTCTTTCTTTCTTTTTTCTTTTTATACTGGTGATAGAACTCACTACCTCGCTCTTGCCAGACAGGTGCTTACACTGCTGAGCTAAATCCCTGGCTGAACATTTTTTCATGTTTATTTGTTGTTCATATTTCTTCATCTGAGAAGTGTATGTTCATCTCAAGTGCCCATTTGTGGATTGGGTCTTTAAATCTGGGAGGATTTTTTTTTATTTAGTTCTTTATAGGTTTTCAACAGTAATCTTTTATCTGAGGAACAGCTGACAAACATTTTTTCCCCATGTTACAGGTTATCTCTTCACTCTGTTAGTGGTTTTCCTTCGTGTGTGTAAGCTTTTTGGTAAGATGAGATCCCAGTTGTTGATTCTTTGTGATAGTTCCTGTGCGATTTGGGTTTTGTTCATGAAGTCTCTGCCTACACAAATGTCTTCAAGGTTTTACTACTTCTGTTTCCAGAAGATTTAATGTTGGTTTTAATATTAAGATCTTGGATCCATTCCGATTTTTGCTTAGTACATGGTAAAAGATTTGGGTCCAATTTTAATATTTAAGAGGTGCAGAGCTAGTTTTTCTAGAACAATTTACTAAAGAGGCTTTCTTTCAGTGAATCTCTTTGGCACCTTTGTGAAAGATAAGATGGCTTAGTGTGTCTGGAGTTGTTTCTGCATCTTCTAATCCATTCCACTGATCCTCAGGTTTATTTTTTGCCTGTACCATGCTGGTGTTATCACAGTAGCTTCATAATATAAAGTCAGGAACTGTGATGCCTCTGGCCTTACCTGTGTTGCCGAGGATTGCCTTGCTATTCTAGTCTCTTCTGGTTCTAGATGAATTTTAGGATTGTTTTCTTTAATTCTGTGAGATATGCTACTGGAATTTTGATTGGGAATGCACTGAATCTGTTTTGGAAGTATGGCCATTTTCATTGTATCAGTTCTTCCAACCCAAGACACTGGGATAGCTCTCCATTTTGAACATTCTTTTCATTCTGCTTTTCCAGAGTACTGTATTTTTCAATATTGAGGTCTTTGATATCCTTTTAGACTCTTTCGAAGTCAACATTTTTCTTGTACACTCCCAACCCTGAGTGACACTTTGAGGTTGAAAAGAGATGCTTCTGAATGAAGGAACACATTCCTGTCACTCAGCACTAATCTCCAGGACCTTCATGTGAGGCCCACCACACGCACTGCTGAGCTTCCTTCTGTGGGGACCTCTCTCTCCCTCCTATTTACTCACAATATCCAAAAGCTGCAGTGGCTGTTGGCTTCCTATCCAGCCGCAAGGGCTGCCTCCAGCACACCTTCCTGCTCCACACTGTGGAGCCTCGTCCTGCCTCTTTACCATTCAAGGAGCCACTTTCCATTAACTCAGAACTCTGTGTCCTGTCTGCAGGATCTTACCGAGCAATATGGTCTGCTGCCTCTGCCAGTTTAAAAATGACATCGAGGTTGTCTGCAAGACAATTAAGCTGCATTGTGACAGCACATGTGTGGTTAATGCCACTCGGTGTGGTGAGTCTATGCCTGATGATATTTTCATTTATATTTTGCTTTTTAATTTTAAATGGTGATGATAAGATTGTAAACTAATGATATAATTGTTTTACACTTATTCATTCATCAGAGTTAAGCCTGATAAAGTTTTGAAGTGGTCCCCTGCAGACAGGTTCTCAGTTAGTACCGCATGTTGCAATAACAAAACTGTCCCATATTCAAAGGACTCAGAGGAAGGGCTGGAAGGGGAGGGCACACATGCTTGGCTGCATACCATGCACAGTGCTTGCTGTCTGGTGCTTTGCCTTCCAGTGAACACTTAATTCATAAAGTGAAATGCAGTTTGTAAGCTGATTTATGTACTCTGGGGCTCAAGTTTCCTCAACCTTGGGGCAGGTGGAGATCACTTTTGTCTTGTTTTTGCAATTGTGTAAAAGATTATTTTGTTTAAGGCTCAGGAGTTTCTAATTGCATAACCAGAAACTGCTTCCTGTCTCTTCTAAGGGAATGCAGGGTTCCTCCATGCCCAGACTGTCCCACACTGTGCTCTTCCTGGGTCTCACATGACTCAGGTACATTTAAGGATTTTTCTGTATGTCGGGTTTATTAGCTCTTGCTTCATGCTTGCAACATGTGACTGCTTTCACATCCAGAGAGTTTGAATACAGATGTCTACCAGTGATCTGGGACAAATCATGAATAATGGCACTTTGCTCTTTCTGAAAAGGCAAAGTTCTTGGCTTTTAAAAATAATTTTTTACTTATAATATTACTCCTTCATTCCCTAGAAATACAAGCAAAGGAAGACTTTCTTAACTCTGTTTATAGACAAGGAAAGCAAGATTAGAGATGTCATGTGCTAGAGCCTCGTGCCAGCCCTCCGCCCCCAATTCTGGGTTCTCCAGAAGCCCATGTTCCTCTGTGGTCATGATCTTAACTCCTCCTCTGGCCCTCACCACCGCCACAGTCACTTAATTCTTCTGGAAGAGAAAACAGGTTACAAGTCCATGACTTTCATATCATCAGTACTTCAGATGCTTAGAAATATTAGAACAGAAGTGAAGGTAGGGCAGGCATCTGATAGAAAGTTTTTACTCCCTTGTATGCTAAGACCTTAAATCATGTTTGTCCAGAAATTGCTGTTATTCTGAAAATGTATTGTGCATTACTCCACACAGGCATACAACCAAGCAAATTAAAAGTCTCTGAACCTACACCCCAGGTCCCTGCCCAATTTAAGGAAAGAACCAGAGCAGGACAGTATTTGGTTCTGGTAGAGTCTTTCGTTATGGAGCCTAGGACATTGAGAGCAGGGCCAAGTGAAGGTATGTGGTGAACAGGTGGAGAGAACACTTTGGCTCACTGTCACAGGAGGACTGTCCTTCCTCGTGGTCATCTGTGACAGTAGCAAGAACATGACACACCGAAGAGGTGGAGCGAGGAATCCCTGCGCTCCCTCTCACCTGCGGTGTGATGTTGTGGTATACAGAATCTGAGCGGGCAGGGAAGGGCTGCAGAGAGGGCTGCTGAGTGGGGAAGTATTGGCCAGCATTTGGCCTTTTATTAAGTATCGCTTATTTGGCTAAGTTAAGTTGCTGTACCCTACACTATAGAATGTTCTCAGTAGGTAGTCATGGTAGCAAGAGAGTTCTTTTTCTCTTGCTTTTTAAAACAATTTTATTTAAAAGCAAACAAAAGACTAAAAATGATGGTACAGAGTTTCAAATCAATGTAACTGGAGAGTAAGAATGGCTACTATATTCTATATTGTTATCTTCAAAGTAGATACTCAGATTACAAGAATAAGGTATGAAAAACGATCAAACAATGAAAGTGCAAACTGTCATTTTGAGGAACAGAGATTAGTAGTATAACTATCTAATATATATATTTTCCTTCTTTATTCTCCTTGCTCCATAGCAGTTGTCCTTTCCTTTTGAGCAGTTTCATCCTCTTTCACTTTCACAGTATCTACCATACATTTTGGGTCTTATTAAGTCTTTCAGCTTTTTACACTGAGGAGACAATGCAGAGTTTATACACATGTGAGCCTGATTTGTTTCACTTATGATTATAGCCTCTAGTTGCATTCATTTGCCTATAAAAGGCTCGTTTGTCTTTCTTCATAGCTGGATAGTATTCCATTGTAAAAAAAAAAATACCCCATATGTTTTATCCATTCAGTGGTTGATGGGCATTTGGGTTGTTTCCAAAATTTAGCTATTACAAATTGAGCTGCTATAAACATGGGCACATGTATATTGCTGTGGTATGATGTCTTCAGTCCTTCTGGGAAAATACTCAGGAGAATAGCTGGATCGAGTGGGACCTCCAAACCTAGGTTTTTGAGGAATTTCCACACTGACTTCAGCAGGAGCTGAACCAATCCTGCACTCCTACAAGCAGTGGAGAAGTGTTCCTTTTTCCCCACAACCCTTTCAGCATTTGTCATTGGTTGACCTCTGGATATTCAGAGCCATTCTTTCTGGAGGGAGATGGAATCTCAGTGTTATTTTAATTTGCATTTCTTGAATGACCAGTGATGTTGGACATTTCTGTATATATTTATTTACCATTTGCTCTTCTTCATCTGAAAAATGTGTGTTCATCTTAGATGCCCATTTTTTGGATTGGGTCTTTAAACTTGTTGGGATCTGATTTTCTTCAATTCTTTGTAAGTTCTAGATAGAAATCTTTTGTCTGAGTTGGTTAAAACTACTCCAGTTTCTCATTAGATCTCATAAATCTTTCATTTTTTTGACTTTCTGTTATATGTTTCATAGTTTTAAGTTTGGGTTTCTTTTTTGTCCCTTCCAAATGGCACTGAAATACTTACTGACTGCTAACTTTGAGTGGCATGATTAGCTGTGGGCTGACAAAAAGCTGGCTATTCAGTCTCCCTTGATTGACAGCAGTCTCTTTTTTCTGACAGTGGGAAAAGCCCCCATAGGCAATGTCCAAGAAGCCTTCATTAAGGTGTTACAAGCCCGGAAGAAGAGCACCAGCACTGAGCTGACCATCAAGACAGATACGGCATCTGCAGAAATAAGTGGTTTGGAATTATTAAGCCTTGTGAAAGAGCAGGCAGACACTAATGATCATCCTACAACACCAAGTTTCACACAGCCATACTTTCTAGAGGGAAATCTAGAAGGCATAGAAAAAACAATATTACCATTCATTCAGCTCCTTTTGTCAAATATACAAAATGGAAATTATTCCTTGGCTTATTTGGAAAACAATATGAGAAACTCCTCTTCTCAACGTGCATTTGACAATTCGACCCTCAATGATAAACTACAGAGGCTATATTTGTTGCAAAATTTGTTAAATGCAAAAATTCAGGAAATATTAGATGACACAAAAAAGAAAGAGAAAACAGCCACGCTTATGCCATCTAGGAATTTAGATCCCCAATTTAGACTCCAAATCTTTGCAAACAAACTGAAAAGTCCTGAAACACAGGAAAACAGCCTGGCAGAGGTGGAGGGTGAAAGGAAAATGCTTCCAAGCTTGAAGGCCCCTCTCAAGGAGCTGAAGCATCCACAACAAAGTGTTTTCAAGGAAGAAATGAAACAGAAAGCCGGGCTTAAGTGGGCTACCCAGCCATTCTTAGAAGATGTCACCAAAGAGGGAAGCCTAAAGAGATTCATCCCACAGGAGATGGGGCAGCATCAGAGGATGCCAAGACCCAGGAAGTTCACGGAAAACTCTTTCCGCATAGAGCCCTCCTTCAAGGACGAACAGAAAGTAACAGCTTCTTCTTTCCTAAAACGTCACTCCATGGACAGATCTCCTTCCATCCCTGCCAAAGCCCTGCCCAAGGTGAGAAAGAGAGCAAATGATTTCAACTACATTTTGGACTTACAAAATGCAAATGCTAGAGTTAAAACCACAGAGGGTACAAAACCAGTCTTACATCCTGGAAACCCTCACCACTTTCACAAAAATTCTCTCGTGGCCCGGGGAACACCCAAGGCCAAGCTGAGTGACAAGTTGAGGAAGAAAAACACACACAGTAGACTACCGCTTGTAAAGAGGCCTCAATTCTCAGCAGTGAGGACTCTCACCAGTTTCCCATCAGGACAGTTCTTCTCATCTTCAGGAGAGCCCAGTTTTCAGGAGACTCCTGTTTCAGAATTATATGCTCCTTCAGAACTTTCTGTAGAAAGCACCCCTGTAGCAAACCATACTGCAGCAGATACTTCCAAAGGAGCAGATTTTGCATTAAGCATTCGTGTGCCAGAAGAAACTATCTCCAAAGACACAACTCACAGGAGAGCTGCATACTCTGCCGTGACTGCATTCAACCGAATACCAGCTGTGAACCACACAACAAAGGCACAGTGGGAACACCCCAACATGGGCACTGACTCACCGCTCAAAGACTTCACCTCCCTGTCGCTGTCATCCTCAGGTGATCAGCTTGAGATTTACATAAATCAGCAACTCCGGCCCCTCATCCCCAACAATGACATCAGAAGGCTGATTTCTCCTGTTATCAGGAGTTTAAAGATGGACTGCTCTGAGACCCAAGTGCAGTTGGCCTGTGCCAAGCTCATCTCCAAGACAGGCCTCCTGTTGAAGCTGCTCAGTGAGCAGCAAAAAGCCAAAGTGTTTAAGGCCCAGCGGGATGTGGAGCACTGGAAAAATGAGAATTACATCATTGAGAGCACAGAAGACCAGAATGAAGAGAAGGAGCGGCAGTCAAGGGAGGTGAGGAAGGCTGCCCAACATGAGAGTCTGCTGTGAAGCACAAAAGGGCCCCCATGTCTGTACTTTGTCCTGGCCACGTAACTGTGGTCAGGATGGTGATCTCCACCCTGCTCCTTGAGAGAAGGAAGATGACCTGGCATACAAGATAAACTAGAAAGGAACATGCATAATACTATTTGTAACATGGTCCACCGCATATGTTTTTATCGCCTTGCAAACTACTCCCCTGTAAGAATTTGATTTGAATAGTCAGCTTTCATCTGTCCCATCTTTGTTACTTAACAAAAATTTCTCTCTCTCCTTCCTCTTTTTCCTCCCTCCCTGTCTCATCTATCTGTCTCTCAGCTCACAGTAGAAGTTCCAGGATTCGGCTATAAGAACAAACTGATCTTGACAGTATCTGTGACGGGAGCAGGGATCATTTTGTTGATAATTTTCTGTCTCATTGAGGTAAGCATCACAATTACTTCAGGCTTCCTGGAAGGACTCTTTCCTATTGAGCAAACTCTCTTTTCCTGTATTAATACTGAACTACCTGACTTTATTCCAGCTGTTATATAGTTTGAGTTCTGAATCTGGTAATATTGCTGGGTGTTGAGGTACTGGGGACGCCATTTAGAGATTTTTTTCTAGGTTCCTTCTGTCCTGTGAAAGAATTGGTCAAGAAAGGAACAAATGTCGTGGCCTTTAAATTTATTAAAGGTAGGAACAGAAACATGCTCTGCTGAGTGCAGGTTAGTTAAAAGCAGGAAAAGAAGTACGTTCCACAAGGTGAGAACAGACTGCACTGAAAGAGACACAGTGGCCATGAGGAAAATGGCTGCTCTCCAACCTTGACTGTCTTATCAAAACATGCTTGATTTCTCAAGAGAAGAAATGAAGATAGCACTCTCTGATTGGTTCCAAGTGCAGGGCTTTGAAAAATGTTCTGTACTTGTGTCCCAGAACTCTGTGGTTGACAGGAAATACCTACTTCCCCAGTCAGCTTACTGTGCCTTAGTCCTCTCCTTAATTTTTAAAAAAGAGGATAAAACAATTAAAACAAATCAGTGTGAGAGATACAGAACTTTAAAACAATACAAAATCAATAATAGTTACCATAATGCCTTTTGATATCTTCAAAATAGCTGCAGATAACCTCAAACATAGTAAAAATCAAACAGAACAGAACAGAATAGAAACAATAAAAACAAAACAATGAATGCAGTAAAGGACTTCAAAACAAGCCAATAGTAAATCCAAAATGGCTACCATAACGTATCTTGCTATCCTTGATATAGCTGCTCCTGCCATCAGATCTAACATAAACAAAAGAGAATGAAATCCAACACAACAAAACAATAGGAATGACACAGGACTTCCAAAACAAGACTACAGGGGGTCAACAATGGCTGCAACCCTCAGGAGGAGGGTTGGGGATGCCACACAGTGTACTGCTATCCTGTGAACCTGTGATCAGACCACCGGCCACTGGCCCTAGACCTGTAGTGTTAGTGAAACGGAACAAAGCACCACAGGCATCCAACTGCATTTCACCTCCACCGTTATCATCACAGCCTGTGTTTCTCTGGGTAACCTGCTGCTTACGTGGTAGAAGAAGTACTTCTTGATTGCCAGCCTGCACACCAGAATTGACTAGGGTCCATCTGTTGCAGCCCAGTCGCAGACTGGGCTTGCTCGCTGGTATGGCCTTGTTCTCTCTCCCCCTAGTCCATGAATGGTACTGAGTCATGGAGAGAGACTTGGCTCTGGCCATTCCTAGTCTGGTGGCAGTCCACATATGGCACTGTTTCCCAGGCTGGGCTTACTCCCTGGTGTGGCCTTGTTCGCTCCCTCGAGTCCACGAATGGGGAGAGGTTTGGGTTTGACTATTTCCAGTCTGGCGGCAGCCCGCACATGGCACTGGTTCCTAGATTGGACCTGTTTGCCCACAATTTTTATGGATGCTGTGAAATTTGATTTATACAATTTTGGAAAAAGATGAAGAATGTTTGTGAGGCACGGATGGCAATGGTTGTGTTTGTCACCTGATGCAGTTTGCAAACAAAAAGAAATTTTGCCAAATGCTTCTTTGTAGAAACCAAATTGTTTGCGCCCCAAAGCATTTGTAAGCTAAGGTCCTGCTGTATTATTCATCTGCACAGCTCATAGCCTCTTTTTTTTTATCTGGAGTACAGTTAAGTGGCCAAGTTGAGCTGGATGTCTCACCATGACTGGTCAAAGTTTGGGCTGCACTTGAGCTTGGGATAATCCTGGTTCAGTCTCCTCCAGCCCTAGGGTCAAAGGCACGTGCCACTATGCTTGGCTTTGTTCTTCACGTTAAAACAATGCTGTTTAGATTTCTATTACTTTTTTTTTTTTTATCAAATTAAGAATGTTTTCTTCTTTTAGGAATTTTTATTAGGAATTACTAGTTGAATTTTATCTGAAATAGCCAAAAAGATGTATTAAGTGCCTGAGACTGGTGGCATATGCCTGAAATCTCCCATCATTCTGGGAGGCTGAGACAAAGGCAATGGGCCATTTGCAAAGATGTCTCAAAAATACATATAAACCATATATATTATAATAATATCTAATAAGTATAATAAATATTTAATATATATTACTTTGAGGAATTCTCAGAACACACACACACACACATTGGAAACAGTTCAGTCCAAAGGCCCTGAGTTCAATTCAAGTGCTGGACAAAAAACAAACAGATTGTGCCAGATGCACAAGAACTTGAAGTAGGTGCTTTGGGAAAGTCAATGAACTATGATTAACAGGGTCGAATTCTAGTTTTCAGAAATGTTATCATGTCATTCAGATAAAATTTTGTTTTGCTTTGTATTTTGAGACAGGGTCTCACTATGTAGCTGAGGCTGGCTTTGAATTCACCTTGTCTCTAGTTCATGTTGATCCTCCTGCCTCAGCCACTAAATAAGATTTAGATAAAGAAAAGGAACAAGTGAAGAATGGGAGGTAGTGGTCTTGGTGTTGGATACTCATGACTGTTTACCCCCACAACAGATTTATTCCCAAAAACGGGCTTCAGAGGAAAATGAAGAAGAGTCCTCAAGGTAAATATGATTTTTAAAGGAAAACTTCAAAACCAGAACTAAAACCACAACCAAGACCAGGACCAAAATTAGAATCAGAACTAGAATTAGAACTAGGGCTAGAGGAGGACTTAGAACTCATCTACGCTTAAATACCCCAATGTCACGGTGCAAGGCCCACCTGCAGCACAATAACCCTTCCTTCCCCTGATGCCTCCCCTCACTGCAAAGAAGCTGAGATGGGCGGGACAAGCAGGGAGGCATCTGCTGTCACCAGGCATCCAGTACCGAGGGTAGAGGTGGCAGGTTGGGGTACGCCTGCTCCTGTGGTGGAGAAGCCTTGTGGGGCTGCACAGGAAGCCCAGGTGCTAGGCTGAGGCTGGTGGAAGATGGAGTCCTTCCATCCATCCGTGGAAGGGTAGAAGCTCATCCTCTCAGGCTTCCAGTTCCCTTGTGAGCCTCCTGAGTTCCTTTACACAAACCGCACCGCCTTCTCCTTGGGAGAGACCTACATAATGGTAGTTTGCCTCATTTTTTTTGCAGTGAAGAACTGGAAAGGACAGGAGACTGCCTTGCCCTGTGGTCACACTGCTAGTGAGTGTCAGAAAGTGGGTGGCGCCTTGCCAGCAGCTGGCACTGCTCCTCTGATTATGCTGCGCCTGGGCGGAGCCATGCTTTACGGGGAGTCAGTGTATGTAGACACCATCGACTGCAGTAGTCTCTGAAACAGTGCATTTGGATTTCTTTCTGTTCTGTTTGTATTGCACAAGGCACTCTCCTCTTTCACTATTGATGGTACTGGAGATTGAATTCAGGGCCTTTTGCTCTGAGTTGCATCTTCAGTTTCTTTTTCTGTGATGATTTATGTATTCGAGACATGGTCTTGCCAGGTTGCTGAGGCTGGGCTTTAACTTGCCACCCTCCTGCCTCAGCCTCTCAGAATACTGGGATTACAAGTGTATACCACCACATATGGCTCAAAAAGGACACACTGCTTTTTAGTATTAATTATCCTTTAAAGGGATTTCGCAATTCACTCATCAGAGACAGTCCTTGGTATGAAAATCTCTGAACTGTATATCTTTACAGGTTGGACGTGAGTTTTTGCTTGATGAGTAGGGTGAACCAGCTAGGAAAATAGAAACACCTGTTTATTCCACAGGGAGGGCTGCATGTGGGGCTAAGTATGATGGAGGACTGATGTGAAAGACTCTGGAAAGAGTGAAATGTTTCCCCATAGTATAGTTATGCAGTTTGTTCACTGCAAGAGCGTCACCGACTGATGGTGAAAATGGGGTGATAATCTTGCCTGTGTCTCAGGCTGTGCCAGGTGCAGAGGTCTCTCTCAGAAACCTTGTGAGGCCCTGATAACAGATGGAGATTCCCAAAGCACAGCATCGTGCAACTGTTTTCAGGACGCCAGGTCTAGGTTGAAATTGCTTACTGTGGTTGTGAACTAAGGTATATGTTTTGTCCTATGGAGACCTGAAGTGTGCAGTCTGAGATGAAAACAATAATGCGAGTCACTCACTGTCTTGCACGTGTTTTCCCACAGGGGCCTTTCCCAACGTTGGCATGGGAGATGCAAAATGGAACAGGAAAAGGAGGTAAATTTGAGAAACTCAGCGCTGTGGTGGTGGTGCAGGGGAGGCAGAGCTCCTAAGTCCCCTTCTGTTTTCCAGAAGGCCGTGAGTGGGGCTGTTTGCCCACTGTGGCTTAAGGATATGTACAGACCTATCAGTGCCTCACACATGAAACAAGTGTCGGCCAAGCTGCATGGGAAGGATTCCTCTGATGAGGGTGAGATTTTCACAAAGCACGCAGGGTAAGTGGCTGGGGATGACTTAAAATTGCAATCTAAAAATGAAGAATAAAGAAAGCCTCACTGCCTTGGCCTTGTTCTCCAGGGAGCTCCACGGAGTCACCACAGAGGCAGCGCCCACAGTGTCAGCCATCAAGGATGAGGAAAGTGGGCTCAAGAAGGCGCCCTTGGAGTGACCCTGAATTGCCTCCAGTGACTGGCAAATCTTTTTTTCACATTGTTTCGCATTGTTACATTAAAATCTATAATATTCAAAGCACTTCTAGCCATGCAGTAAGAAAATAAGTCCTGATAGTCAAATTGATGTGTGCATGTAACACACGGCATAGTGGGACTGCTGCTCGGATCCTTTGTTGTGGTCCTGCTTCTGGGGGAGCCAGGATGGCCTTCTTGTCCTTGGCAGCCAGGATAACCAGTTTCTGTAGCCAAACGCGCTTGTGGGTTTGGCATTTATAGACTCCTAACACTTAGCCCAATAATCCATGGAAGCATACTTTTTGTCTTATTTGTCTTATCATCATTGCACAGGAAATGGAGCTCAAAGAATATAAGTAATCTGGCCAAATACACAAAGCCGCATATCTAAAGCCTCAAATTAGAGTTTTAATTAAGGACCCTAAGACTCTAAAGGATATTAACCAAGACACTGCCCCACTATAGAGTATAGAAACATGGGGACATACAGACCTTGCTGCCTGCTGTCACATGGCTTAGTGTTCTGGAGATGGGCCATCAGAATTTGGGGGACATGTGAACCTCCAAGTCCCCAGGTGTAGGAAGTGGCTGAAGTTGGAGATGGATCACATGTGTGGGGCTAATGCAAGGCCAGGCCTGTGAACACAGAGAGCCCAAAGCAGCCACATAACAAGCTGTTCCAGCTCTGGAAGGCAAGGTGCCCAGGTGAGTCAGTCAAAAAAGCTGCTATGCAGAGGGGTTGAAATTGACATCAATTCCCTGAGTGCCTAAATAAATGGGCTAAGGTGGTTGCGCAGTTCCTTTCCTCCGATCCGGAAAGAGGGCCCACCTGATCCCAGCTTTGTGTGTCCTGCCCTTATTTCTTCACCTTTTCACCGCCCTTCATGCTCCTCACCCCAGGAAGTTTGAGAGCTGCATGAGTCATGGCACCTAAGATTACTGATGTTCAGCACAGAACCCGGGAGTCGGAGGCACGTCCCTCTGCCTCAGCTACTGTGAGCCACTTTGGCTTCCTGTGCTCATGGAATCGGGATGGCTATGACTTAATGACCCAGCACCTACAAAAAGAGGAGGCTCTGTTCTCCCTAGGTCCCACTCACTTTTATGCTTCCTGATATGTGACATGCCTCTTAACACGCATCGTGTCCCCTGTGTTAAGCAAACACTCGGCTGTGTCTTCAGAATGTAAGAGAGGACAAGGAGCCAACTCTGTGGGCACAAGAAGACATACATAACCCTGCAGAAAAGGCTGAGATTGAGACGGAAGGATGGGCTCAGCAGGGTGGTGGGTGTTCAGTGAGCAGGGTGGTGTGGGAGTCAGGCACAGGCTGGGAAAGGATGGGATGAAAATGACTCGTGGGCCTCCTTCCTGGACATTTGGAGCCAGGAAAACATACACCTGTTTTAACTGCTCTTTATACCACGTGACCACTTTGAGCCTCCCCTGGGCACACTTCACAACATGTGAAGCCTTGGGGTATACTTTTCCTCTTCTGGTCCTGTAGCTTTTTTTTCTTTCCATGGTAAGCTAATATCAGATACAGTGATTGAGCCAGTGAAGGGCAGGTGTCAGGAGCAGTCTGCAGCAACTGTGCTTTGGGTACTTAAGATTTGGAGACTTTGGTCAAGTGGGAGCCCAGGGTCTGAATTCAGAGCACAGTATTGGGCTGGGGAGGTCCAGGCAGGTCCTAAGAGTGCACATGAGGGCTGGGGAACAGCCAATTCTTGGCAGAAACCTGCACTGAGCTCGGCTCTGGTCTTCTGCTCCTTTGTCTCTGGGCAAGAAAGGTGTCCCTATGTCTTCAGTAGTGGAAACCCATGGGTGCTTCCATTTGTACAACTGTCTGTTGAGTGTATGGTCTTGTTCCACAAACTGCCAGGCTACTTTTACTAAAAAGAGTGACTTCACATGGGCCTGCAAATGTCCTATGAGTGACTGAAAGCAGGATTACAAACTTCGACATTTCTGCCTTTGAGTCATCTTCCCTGGCTGTCCCCTTGGATTCTCTGAGCCATCCATAAATGTCTTGTGAGGCGCGAAAAACCCACAGGCAACTTGCTTCCTGTCTACCTTTGTTTCTAGCTCTGCTTGCTTGCTTTGACTTCAAACTCCTGGTGATCCTTCTGCTCAACCTCCCAAGTGCTGGGATTACAGGTGTGCACAGCCACACACTGCACCAGTATCTTCCTATCACTCTTGAGAGGACACCCTGAGCAGTCCTGAGGGGATGATCAGCCGGACCACCTTTGCCCAGGACTGCTTGTCAACTCACACTTCTCGTTCCCTTGTCTCTGTATTCTGGGTGCTCATGTCAGCCCTCAAAGACAGGCTGCAAACACTGGTCCACTTATCTACCCACCGCAGCTAGACACTGGAAACTGATCAAAGTATCTTTGCTGCCTTTCACCATTACTTTGTTGTTGGATTTCTTTAGCATGAGTGGCCAGACCTGCTTCTTTGGAATCCCAGGCTCAGGCCACCGATCTATGTCTCTGGTAACAGCTCCTCTCCTTTTTGGAGGCTGTCCTGTCTGTAATTCTCTCTACAAGAGTGACAACCTCAATCCTTGGGTTCAGGCAGAGGATTCAGTGTGTTCAGTAAGCTTATGGTTCAGCAGGAAATGTATAAATAAGAACATACGTGAAACAGTTTTGCCCTAGGATAAATTACAGTTATGGCGGTGGTCTAACGTGGCGGAGGCCCAGAGCAGCAATGCCTACCACTTCCTGCTTCTTCAGCCCTAACTGCAACTCGTCTTTCTGTCTGTGCACACAGAGAATTCCAATCAGTTGCTCACATGTCATCAATATCCGCCCCATGCACTACTTCCATCAGAGGTCACGTATCTCTCTGTATCTGGTCGAAGGAGAAGCCCGGCTGCCATGAGTTGTGTGCTCCTTTCCACGTGCTCACCTTATCAAAACTGTTGATTTTTTACTTTTGCCACCAGAATACTCAAACAATATGGACAACTTTTGATGTTAGACTTACACGTGGTGGAAGTGAGGAATTCTATAGGAAACTCTAGCTAGTTTGGGATAAGGATAACATTTCCAGTCAGCTGGAATGACCAGAAGATTGCACGTGGCTTGGCACAAGTGTTTCATGTCACCAACTCCAGGACTTAGTATCCTTTGATTATTCCACTGAATTGTTGATTGCAGGGAATTCTGGGGCTGTGGAGGACCCTGAAAATCCGTCTCTTGTCTGTTTTTCAGGAGTCCCTGCCTCTAAGTGTCTTACTTTCTAGGCTCCTGAGTGCTCAAATCTGTGGGCTTCTCTGTCTTACGTTGCTCTCCACAATTGTAAGGCTGCCTAAAGGCGTGGGTCCTAGGGTGGGCTGGTGTAGCATAGGAGGGCATGAACAACTGCTTGGGCATGCAGCACATTTCCACAAACACTTTCTCACCGGGTAAACTACCAATGGGAAACAAACATGACTTGAACAATGATAAAAGAACCTGCAAAGTGCTATGAAGCCAGAAGAACTTGAGAGGTTTCAGGTTCACAGCACCTGTGAACATGTGCAGCACTGCTGAGTTTGGGCTTGTTAAAGGTTGGCTCAGTCCAGCTTCCCTCTCTGATCCTCCAGCCCTCATACCCTCCTCTCCTGCTACAGCCCATCTTCTGGGAATTAAGCGCCTCCTTCTGGTTTTACTTTGGGATGAGCCTCCTTCACACCCTGAGCTGCCCCTGGGCTTGAGTTCCTGGTCTCATTCTTCCACCCGGAGTGCACATGACCACTGCTGGCCAGACAGAGCTAATCAGAGCCTGTGACAGAGGCTTTGCTCAAACCCGTTTTCTTCACTGCTGTGTCTGGTGAGAATTACTGCCCATCTTGCAGCCTCGGGACCTGGTCCTGCTACCGTGGCATCCAGTATGGAGGACAATGCAGGAGAGGGGCAGACAGGGCCAAGGAGATGGATGTGGCCAGTCCTGAGCCTGTAGGACTGTTTACTGTTGAAGTGTGATTTTTAGATGGGAGACAGTCCTAACAAATCAAAGTTTGAACTTGTACAAGTCATCTGTATTTCAGCCTGTTTCCTCATCTATTACTTGGAAGATTTAAATGAGATAACACACACACACACTGAATGTAAATTTGCTATTAGTGATATGGTAATTATACAGTGGTGTCTCAGCTCATTAGCTTGATTCCTTGTATGAGTCTGGTTGCAAATCAAGTTGGACGAAAAAAAATCTGGTGTTTGGGGTCAATGTTGACTTAAGGAGATTCGATTTGGTTCTCATCTAATTCTGTTTCTATAATGGCTGATACATTGTGCCACCTTAGAAGTTTATTGGACTGGTTTCTTGAGTTCAATTTCAGCATATGTAGAGATGGGGACAGCTATCACAAAGAGAATGAGAGATGCAATGGTAGTTACTATTGTCTTCCCTAATTTGGAACTGGAGGACCTAAAAAGCCTCCAATGATTTGATTAGTTCTATAATATACAATAAGTATATAAGGTGGGTGAAGATGGGGACAACTATTTGTAAGAAACTAGAGACAGTTAGATAGACAATGAAGATCTCCAGTGGGCTTGTTGCGAAATCTGTATTTCTTTAAATTGTTTTTTTAACTGCTTTGTTCTGTTTTGACATGTTTAATCTTACCCTCTTTGAGATGTAAAACAAATGTGTAGGACTGATAACCATATTACTGAGCTCTTGTTCGATCATAGAGCAGAAGGGTTTGTAGTGTCACTTTATGAATGTCATTCTAAATACTTTAATTCTATAACACGAACAGCTATTTCTAAGATGACAATGTGTAACTTATCAACCAGCAATTTCTTACCGTTTGTTTTTCTGTAAGTTTGTATTATTTCTACCCTTTTTTTTAATCTCCATGTATTCTTTTGTTTCCTTTTCTTTAAATAAAAAAATTTTTTTAAAAAAGAAGTTTAAAAGCTTCACTACCTAACTCAGCAGTTCTATATCCTGGGGTGTAGAGGACACGCCCTAGGGTGGCTGTTCCCCATCCATGCTATTGTAATAGTTGTTTCATTGTATCAGCTTAAGAAGTTTAAAAGTTTAAGTGGCTCTGCAGCAGCCAGGGTCTTCACTTTGAAAACATCTTGAGGCTGTGCAAGAGGAGGCCATGGACATAGTGAGTGCTACAGCTGCCCCATGGCGGGTAGCCTGCTCACAACACAAGGGAGAAAAAGAGGCTTGTTCCCATTTATGTTGCTTCTTGCTGTCTTCTGCCAACTTCTGCCCTTTGCCACGTCACCCTGATTGGGAGCCAGCTGATTCTGGACTAAAACCTCTACAAACTGTGAGCTAAATGAACCTTTCTGCACTTAATTCTGGGGCATTAGGTATTTTGTTTCAGCCATGAGACAAAAGTCACTAAGTGC